TTCTACTTGACATATGATAGTAAAGTTTCCAGACATCGATTCTTCTACTTAACATATGATAGTAAAGTTTCCAGACATCGATTTTTCTACTTGACATATGATAGTAAAGTTTCCAGACATCGATTCTTCTACTTGACATATGATAGTAAAGTTTCCAGACATCGATTTTTCTACTTAACATATGATAGTAAAGTTTCCAGACATCGATTCTTCTACTTAACATATGATAGTAAAGTTTCCAGTCATCGATTTTTCTACTTGACATATGATAGTAAAGTTTCCAGTCATCGATTTTTCTACTTGACATATGATAGTAAAGTTTCCAGACATCGATTCTTCTACTTAACATATGATAGTAAAGTTTCCAGTCATCGATTTTTCTACTTGACATATGATAGTAAAGTTTCCAGACATCGATTCTTCTACTTGACATATGATAGTAAAGTTTCCAGACATCGATTTTTCTACTTAACATATGATAGTAAAGTTTCCAGACATCGATTCTTCTTTTTGACATATGATAGTAAAGTTTCCAGACATCGATTCTTCTACTTAACATATGATAGTAAAGTTTCCAGACATCGATTTTTCTACTTGACATATGATAGTAAAGTTTCCAGACATCGATTCTTCTACTTGACATATGATAGTAAAGTTTCCAGACATCGATTTTTCTACTTAACATATGATAGTAAAGTTTCCAGACATCGATTCTTCTACTTAACATATGATAGTAAAGTTTCCAGACATCGATTTTTCTACTTGACATATGATAGTAAAGTTTCCAGACATCAATTCTTCTACTTGACATATGATAGTAAAGTTTCCAGACATCGATTTTTCTACTTAACATATGATAGTAAAGTTTCCAGACATCGATTCTTCTTTTTGACATATGATAGTAAAGTTTCCAGACATCGATTCTTCTACTTAACATATGATAGTAAAGTTTCCAGACATCGATTTTTCTACTTGACATATGATAGTAAAGTTTCCAGACATCAATTCTTCTACTTGACATATGATAGTAAAGTTTCCAGACATCGATTTTTCTACTTAACATATGATAGTAAAGTTTCCAGACATCAATTCTTCTACTTGACATATGATAGTAAAGTTTCCAGACATCGATTTTTCTACTTGACATATGATAGTAAAGTTTCCAGACATTGATTTTTCTACTTGACATGTGATAGTAAAGTTTCCAGACATCGATTCTTCTACTTAACATATGATTGTAAAGTTACCTCATTCTGACGATGTAGAGCATCAGAAATATTTCTTTCATTAGGATAAATACAGCTTACACATAAGTTAATTCTGTATTTCTGTTAGGCTGAAGCCTGTGCTGTGAACTGTGTGAATGAAACCTGTGTCAGCTTGACTGCATCTTTTATGTGTAGGGATAACTATTAGCAAGCATTGTTAAAGGGTTAAAAAATAGCAGGAACAGGTTTGCAATAGAAAATGCCTGACTGTTACTAAGGGTAGAGCAAGTGACATTTTGAAATGACACTCCATACTGTTGGGCCATCCATATTTATGTGTTTCTCATCTCCAACCTCAAGCAACAAAAAAGTGGGTGGTGAAAAAAATATGTTGTTTTTCACTGATTGTGTAACTTATTTTATGTAATTTTAAAGTTTAGAACACTTGATTATAGTCTTTGAATTAATTCATGATGTAGATCTAGTTGCTTTGCTTTGGAAACAAATCTTTCAGAAATATTGCTGAAGAAAGATCATTGTGTAATGGATGACTGATTGATTAGGCAGCTGGGTGAAATGTTCCATGGCTTATGGCTCTATGTAGCTCAACATGTTGTGTTGTGAAGTCCCGTGTCCTGCAGACAGGCACCAGGAACTACAGTGCTGTGTGACATGCTCTAGGTGCTACACGATATGTTGACATGAGCAGCATGGCCAGCATCACTTGTGTCCCTGTGTGACATGCTCTAGGTGCTACACGATATGTTGACATGAGCAGCATGGCCAGCATCACTTGTGTCCCTGTGTGACATGCTCTAGGTGCTACACGATATGTTGACATGAGCAGCATGGCCAGCATCACTTGTGTCCCCGTGTTATGCTCATGTGTTTTATGCTGCTGCTGGGGGGAGGGGGGTGTCTACAACATACTTCATTTGGCTTTCAAAAGGGTGTGTGGTTCCTTTGCTGATAAGGCTGCTGCTGCAACTACAGATCAACCTTTTGTCAATAGCGTTCTACCACTTCCTTTACAGATAAGGCAACACAAATTTCATAACTAAAATGTCAACAAATATGTTCATCTTATCAGTCACAATATTTTTTATTGAATTAAAATTACACAACTGATAAATACCAGTTGTAATATAGATATTTAAGCTTTCACTGAATTACAGGGGATGTTTGCCACCATAGCTGTTCAACAATGCAATATTCAAATGAGTCTTGTATTCTGGTTCATGAACATGATTACAACAATGTACTTTATCAAGTGTATGGTTTGGTGTACTAAAGAATAAACTCTGTAGAAACTGGGGGTTTCAACTAGGGGTCATGATGTTCTTCCAAGTGAACTTACAAAATGCCTTTTAAGGCTGATGCCAGACCAGCATTGGCCTCCATTTCAACTTGACTGTAGGCCGCTTTCATTTAATAACATTTTTCAGTTGCAATCAATAAACGTTGGATGGTAAAAGAGGGGCTGTATATATAAATACAAATTTTGCAACGATTCCAACAGCTAGTTTTCCCATGTCAATGGTCACATTTCGGACGTGAACATGGCCTTGAATTTACCCAGGGATTAACTCAAAAAGCCTATTGGTCCCATTATGTCCACAAATAGCCAGACAAAGCATCACATGTATGTCCATGTATCCCAGGAACACTCACTCATCCATTCAGCATCTCAGCATCTCACAGCTGTGAGCTTTTTATTTAGCTGCTCTAGATTTACCAATGACAATATTTGCAATGCTTTGAAGGCATAACTTTACATCACAGATGAAAGATATACGTTTTTGCCTGTTTGTTTGTTTGATTGTTTGTTGTTTAACGCCGCACTCAGAAATATTCCAGCTATATGACAGCGGTCTGTAAATAATCGAGTCTGGACCAGACAATCCAGTGATTGGCATCATGAGCATCGATCCACGCAATTGAGATCGATGACATGCATCAACCAAGTCAGTGAGCCTCAGAACCACCCAATCCAATTAGTCCCCTCTTACGAAAAGCATGACCTTTTTTTCTGGAGTTTTAGGAACATGACCACAAATTGACCATGACACGGTAATATTTTCTTTGCTTTGCCTGCTGCCTCTGTAATACATAAAACGAATGGGTCTTAACTTATGGTAATGAGAACTGTTTTTGTGGTCAACAGAATCTTAAGTTTAAGCATCGTTTTCTTGTACAGTTTATTGAATATAGGAGCATGCAGAAAACGGGGTTCATGAGCAAGTTCAAGGGTCCATGAAAAAATGGCGAATCATTTTATGGTTTAAATATAAATAATAATCGTTTCGTTTCATTTTCTTTGACAATGAATGCATCACACATCATGATGAGAGGGTCATGGAAACTATGAACAACCAAAGGGAGGTCACAAAAACATGTTGGGGGGATTGCATCTTCATCACACCCTGGATAAAAGCATTCTGTGATAGTACCCAACAAACGCTTACTTGTTGCTTGTTTTGTTATAATAACTTAGTACTAGCTGATATTTAATATTTATGTATGTAGTGGCTGTAGTGATGTAGAAGTGAAGTGACTGTAGGACCTGTAGTAGTATTTTGTGGTGTTGAATCCATGTGGTTGTCATGCATGGCAGATGGAATTAGGTCAAGTACATAATGATTCGAGGTTATTAATAACCATTATTTCCAAGAATGAAATGTGGAGGTCGTAGAGGTGATCGCCGCCTGCTGTGCATTAGGACATGTATGTTATGTGTGGCACTTTAGGCTGGTGTGTAGTCGTTCAATCGAGGGAAGGACATGATAAAATGTCTTTCTTAACAAGGGACATTATTATCCTGTGCTCATGACAAACATATCGGTAGAGAATTTGCATGTATATCACATCCACTGTTGTGAGTATAGGATGCTTGACACTTGATGCCATTGCACCACTTCCTCGGTCTCATATTAATTGAGGTGACCAAACACATGACACGTTAATAATAAGTGCAGTTCCAGATTTAATTAGTTTCAGTTGGTGGGAAACAAATTCTAGTTCAGTTTTCAAATATTATGTTTTATTAATGTGAAACATAAATACACAAATGAAAACACATACAAAAATTATTTCTTTATTCTGCAAACTACTGTTCATTATCAACCTAGAACTTCAATACACTGCAGGACCTGTGAAGATCTGGGGTAGAATAGGTCTTCAGCAACCCATGTTTGCTTTAAAAGACAACTATGCTTGTCGTAAGAAGAGACTAACGGAATCAGGTGGTCAGACTCGCTGACTTAGTCGATGCATGTTATCGTATCCCAATTGCGTATATCGGTGCTCATGTTATCAATCACTGGATTGTCTGGTCCAGACTGGATTATTTTATTATTGCTGAGTGCGGCATTAAACAACCAGCATACAAATAATACACTGCGGGGGCAGGTAACTCTAACTTGAAGCTGTGATCTATTGGCACTAAACGTAGTTATTCGTAATGGTATATGTTTTAATAATTCTACACAGCTACTTGTGTCTCAAAAAAAGAATGGGGGAGACTTTTGGGGGTTGTTTTTCAGGAAAATCACATTCTAGTTTTGTGAGTCTTGGACATGACTAATTTTGAAGGAGATATATAAAAATATGTGAAGGTAAAATATCTATATTACCATGTTGAATGTACTTCATTTAAGCTAACAAATGTTCTCTCTTCATTTTCATATCTGACTCTTCATCCTGATTGGTGACAATTTATTTATCTGCCTTCTCATTGGCTATACTGATGTCTCATGATCCGGATGGTGCTGAATGGTGGAAACTTTCAAACAGAACTTCAAACCGATCTTTGACAGAGTAAGTATATTTTATTCATATAAACCAAAATAGATTTGTGTACAGAAATATTGGTGACCAGTGGTGACCTATTATCATGATTATTATTATTGTTCAGTGGGGACTTTAATAAATATGTCATTACAATAAGTAGCATATTGCAAGGATACAACAGACTTCAAATTTCAGAAATTGTAAGCCAATGCTTAGATGCTTTTTTGGGGGCAAATGTTTATGTCATAAGATATCAGATAATTGAATGTATTTTTACATGGTTAAGTGCAAATCTGTAATATAAATAAACGTTTAATTTTGTATTCCACTCATGCTGAAACAAGCACAGATAGCCTTGTGAGAAGCATATCGGGTTGTAACTACCGGCTGTGGTCGTCAGTTCAGTGTCAGTGTTACTACACTGTGCACATGGTGTGTGTTTCCTGCAACATGTTGCCAGCTGAAAATCTAGGACTCAGGTGACACTTGGTCTGTAGCCAGAGTAGGGGACAGCACATTGCAAGAATGGCGGACATATCAGAATTTACTTGTTTTATCCTTGAATTTTCTGTCATGATGCCCAGATGGGGACTTTGCGGCAGGGCATGTCCCCAGTTCCCTGTCAGAAAAGCTGTTCAATCTGGATGTTTACATAAATCGATTTCAAGTCACAAACAGGAAAAAATAGTATCTGTAGTTACCAGAGTCTTGCTTGACAACGGTATTAGGATCTATACCAAAACGTCGCCTTTACAGTATTAAAGAAGTTGTTATCCATACATTGTGTCATGGTCTGATATATAAGTTGAATATCACCCAACTAGTGTAGACTAAACCAGATCTAAGTTGAACATATTAGTCAGCCAACTAACGGCTATAATACTGGGCTAAGGACCATGCCGAGCACTGTGTCACCTAACCCAAGCATTACTCCCATCGTAGTCCAGCACCATAGCTGGGGAGTTTATGTATTTTATGAAACAAAAAACAAGTCTAGCCAGTTCTGTTCAGTGTCCATACTTATTTGGGAGGAGAGAAATTTATTGTGTATTACAAGATTTGACAGACTATATGTTCGTCTACGCCCATCACAGTGATGGAGATAGGAAGTGATGGAAACAAGTCAGGACAGGCTGCGGAACCTTGAAGAGATGACACAATGGCTGATTGTGGATATAGACCCTTTAGTGCTTGTATTAAATAACTGTATCCCACCTAATATTACATGTATTCTAGGCATCAGATGACTCATTATAATAACATCAGGATGCTTTGTGAGGTTGTGATACACAACAAGGATGTTGGTACGAGAATAAACTTAAAGCTATTGCTAGTAATAACTTTCTCAAGTTTAGGCCACAATGAATTAACTATGAGTTCGCCCAAATTTTTCAAAATTGTGAGGCGGGAGACATTTTTATTTTGTTAAACATCTTTTTTTTTAAAACAAACTGTTTTACATGTTCAAGGCAGCTGTGTCCAATAGGTGTTGAGAAATGGGATTCACAAGAATGTTTGGTAGATCTACGTTTGAGGTGTTTTTCATCATATTTCTACATGTTCAAGGCAGCTGTGTCCAATAGGTGTTGACAAATGGCATTTACAAGAATGTTTGGTAGGTCCACGTTTGTGGTGTATTTCATCATATTTCTACATGTTCAAGGCACCTGTGTCCAATAGGTGTTGACAAATGGGATTCACAAGAATGTTTGGTAGGTCTACGTTGATGGTGTATTTCATCATATTTCTACATGTTCAAGGCACCTGTGTCCAATAGGTGTTGACAAATGGGATTCACAAGAATGTTTGGTAGATCTACGTTGATGGTGTATTTCATCCTGTAAATCAACTGGACCACACATAAGAAGTGTCTCAGTCTGTAGATACTTGAGACATGATGCAGAGTGGAGTGGAGTGGAGTGTTCTAGCCTTACTAAATAGGTTATGTTTGATCATTGATAACCTATTGTAATGATGCAATACATCTCCTGAATATGGCAAATGTTTTCATGTATTCTATAGAGTATCCAAACAAAGCACCTAGTGACAGCGTTACCTGTTGTTGTGTATATTTTCATGTTGTGTTGTTGCACAACAGATAACATTGACCGTCGCTTATCATGCTCTGTTTTTTGTTTAACCATTGGGCCTGGGAACGGTTGTGACCACTGTGTCATGCTGTTGTTGTTGTTGTTGTTGTTGCAGCATGAGCCGGAGGGTGTGGTGATGGAGTAGAGGCTGTTGTTGTCATACTGTTGTTGCAGCATGGGCCGGAGGGTGTGGTGATTGGGTAGAGGCTGTTGTTGTCATACTGTTGTTGCAGCATGGGCCAGAGGTTGTGGTGATGGGGGTTGAGACTGTTGTTGTCATGTTGTTGTTGTTGTTGCAGCATGGGCCAGAGGTTGTGGTGATGGGGTAGAGGCTGTTGTTGTCATACTGTTGTTGTTGTTGCAGCATGGGCCGGAGGGTGTGGTGATGGGGTAGAGGCTGTTGTTGTCATACTGTTGTTGTTGTTGCAGCATGGGCCGGAGGGTGTGGTGATGGGGTAGAGGCCGTTGTTGTAATACTGTTGTTGTTGCAGCATGGGCCGGAGGGTGTGGTGATTGGGTAGAGGCTGTTGTTGTCATGCTGTTGTTATTGTTGCAGCATGGGTCGGAGGGTGTGGTGATTGGGTAGAGGCTGTTGTTGTCATGCTGTTGCTGTTGTTGCAGCATGGGCCGGAGGGTGTGGCGATGGGGGAGCTGCAGCGAGAGATGCAGGAGGAGGGCATCACAGACAGGATCAGCAAGCAGCGACTGAACCAGCTGCTGGACCGAGCCGACTACAACGATGACAACATGATCACATACACCGAGTTCGTCAATCTTGTAAGTAGCACTGTCTTGAAGCACACATGCTCACCGATCCTGGACATGCTGGAAGCAATGTCCCCTATTTGAATTCAGCTGATGACACCTTCACTGCCTCATGTGATTGTGTCAACCATTACGCTCTTGTTATTGAGATGAAAGGATCAAATGTTTTGCATTATATTTGTCACTTAGCCGTCATCCAAAATCAGACCAAATATTTGAGTATAGGCAAATTTTATCACTACATTTTCAGTTTGAACAAAACTTTGACAACATTCCACAGTAATTGATGTTTATCCGTTGCTTGTGTCTCAATGGTTTCAGATGACCAGCAATGAGGGTCTGACAAAGTCTGAGAGGTCGGCTTTCACAAGCGTCCTTGGGGCAGCCATTGCCAACATCGTGCCCCAGAGTATGAGGAAGGACTTCCTCGCCAACTACAACTGCCGGCCACCACCACTCTTCATCCTCCTCATCAGCACCGCCGAGGTGAGTCACACAGTCAGTGGGAGAAGAACATCAGTTCAGAAAGAAACATGCTGGCAGTGCCTGCCTGTGCCTGCCTGTGTCTGGCTCTGTCTGCCTGTGTCTGGCTCTGTCTGCTTGTGTCTGGCAGTGCCTGCCTGTGTCTGCCTCTCTCTGCTTGTGTCTAGCAGTGCCTACCTCTGTCTGCTTGTGTCTGGCAGTGCCTGCCTCTGTCTGGCAGTGCCTGCCTCTGTCTGCCTCTGTCTGGCAGTGCCTGCCTCTGTCTGCCTCTGTCTAGCAGTGCCTGCCTCTGTCTGGCCGTGTCTGCCTCTGTCTGGCAGTGCCTGCCTCTGTCTGGCCGTGTATGCCTCTGTCTGGCAGTGCCTGCCTCTGTCTGCCTCTGTCTGGCTGTGTCTGCCTCTGTCTGGCCGTGTCTGCCTCTGTCTGGCAGTGCCTGCCTCTGTCTGGCTGTGTCTGCCTCTTTCTGGCAGTGCCTGCCTCTGTCTGGCTGTGTCTGCCTCTGTCTGGCCCTGCCTGCTTGTGTCTGGCAGTGCCTGCCTCTGTCTGCTTGTGTCTGCCTCTGTCTGCTTGTGTCTGCTTGTATCTGGCCCTGCCTGCCTGTGTCTGCCTCTGTCTGGCTGTGTCTGCCTCTGTCTGGCAGTGCCTGCCTCTGTCTGCTTGTGTCTGCCTCTGTCTGCTTGTGTCTGGCTGTGTCTGCCTCTGTCTGGCTGTGTCTGCCTCTGTCTGGCAGTGCCTGCCTCTGTCTGGCTGTGTCTGCCTCTGTCTGGCAGTGCCTGCCTCTGTCTGGCTGTGTCTGCCTCTGTCTGGCAGTGCCTGCCTCTGTCTGGCTGTGTCTGCCTCTGTCTGGCAGTGCCTGCCTGTGCCTGCCTCTTTCTGGCTGTGTCTGCCTCTGTCTGGCAGTGCCTGCCTGTGTCTGTCTCTGTCTGGCAGTGCCTGCCTCTGTCTGCTTGTGTCTGCCTCTGTCTGGCTGTGTCTGCCTCTGTCTGGCCGTGTCTGCCTCTGTCTGGCAGTGCCTGCCTCTGTCTGCTTGTGTCTGCCTGTGCCTGCCTGTGTCTGCCTGTGCCTGCCTCTTTCTGGCTGTGTCTGCCTCTGTCTGGCAGTGCCTGCCTCTGTCTGCTTGTGTCTGGCCCTGCCTGCCTGTGTCTGCCTGTGCCTGCCTCTTTCTGGCTGTGTCTGCCTCTGTCTGGCTGGGTCTGCCTCTGTCTGGCAGTGTCTGCCTCTGTCTGGCCGTGTCTGCCTCTGTCTGGCCCTGCCTGCTTGTGTCTGGCTGTGTCTGCTTGTGTCTGTTTGTGTTTGGCTGTGTATAAATGTGACTCTTTCTGATTCTATGGGTGATGATTGTCCACATTTGTGTGTTACGTTTGCCCACTCTGCCAGACTTGTTCTCACTTTGTCAAGACGATATGGAACATAAAGTGGAACGAAACCTCAAAATTTGCTCAACACCTAAAAATAATTTTCAGATGTTCTTGAAATATTTGAAGCAGCTCATTATCAGCTAAATGCCAGTTCCATTAAAGTTAAAACCATACCAACCCGTGAAGATCTGTGTTAGAATAGGTCTTCACCAACCCATGTTTGCCATGAGAGGCGACGGGATCGGTTGGTTAGGCTCGCTTACTTGGTTCATGCATGTCATCCTATCCCAATTGCGTGGATCAATGCTCATAGTGTCAATAACTGAATTGTCTGGTTATCATTGTTCAATAATTCACAGACGGCCGTCATTTAGCTTGAATATTGCTGAGTGCGGCATTAAACAACAAACAAACATGACCTTACCTGAAAATAACCATCGGTCAATCACTCCCACCCTTCTCTAACCATATATATATGACGTCATAATGCAGCTCCAGACAGTATAATATTAATGATACATTAAACTAGAACACAATATCAGTCTGGAATACAATGTATGCCATCTTGCAATCATGAATTCATGAAAACTCCAGCAACATCTGGCCACAGAGATGTGATGTGCAAATTCTGATCAAAGGGAGGTAACTCTGAAGCTAACACACTCTCACTTCCTCCCCAGATTGTGATATTTGGTGTTTACGCTGCGGAGTTGGCCAAGACAAGTAGTCCTGTGACTGCCACGAGTGGAGTGCCCATGTACAGTCCCCTCGTGTACACACCGCGGCGCAGATACGAGGCCTGGAGATATCTCACATACATGTTTATACATCAAGGGTATGTGAAACAGAAGCGGACTCTGTGTGTCAAAATTGGTGCATAGAGCTGGTGACCCTTCATTGCAAGCATCGCAATGTATAATCAAAACATTATATCTAAAAATGTTTGAAAAAATATTCCCATGGAAATATGGGTAAACTGTCTGTTTGAGCAGTGTTGATCAAATGACTGGGAAATTAACATTATGGATACGTGATTTTTCCAGACCTGCTTAGAGGCAGATATTTGGCCCCAGGTTTGCAGCAAATGACAGCAAAATTCCCAATTTGAGTTATAAATGTCCCAAATACCACAGAATTTACAGAAATATGAAAAGTTAAAAATGTCCAATTTTGAACAATATAAAAAAATATTTTTTTTAAATTTGATAAATCCCTGAGGATTTAAGAACGAAACATTTGTGATCATGGAAATATGGGGAGAAAATATTTGCCTCGGGATAATTAACTGCATGTCAAATCAGCTTTGTCAGCCATGGAGATATTTTACGAATGCTTCCTTTATTGCTGAATTCAATTTAATTTCTTGAGTAAATATGAGTTTTGTCATTTGTGACAGAACAGGTTCAATTAACATTTTATTAGACTACATGGCCAAAACAAAATACAGTTTCTCATCAGAAGCTTAATATTTCCAAAAAGCCAAATTCACAGGGCTTTCAAATTCATCATCCACCATGGCCCATTGTTTGAGTCACAGAGATAAATCTCCCATTAATATCTGGACCTTCTTGACATATAAAGAGACCAGATCTTTAACCGGGCAAAACTAAAAGATTTTAACAATTATTTTATGTATTATGTATTTCTTATGTATTTCTTATGTATTATGCTTGTTTCTACTCTCCTGTTGTGTCTTGAGCATTCAAAGGATACCAAAGGAAAAATGTATAATTACATTTTTCAGAAGTCCTCCTGAGGAAATTTGTTCCAATCTGTAATTATGTGAGGAAAAGTATACTGTTGGTTGTCAGTTGTCAGTTGTATAAAGAATTCTCGTTTTATTGATATTATTAAGAATCTAAAAAGAGGACATTTCTTCCAGATGGCTGCATATTGTATCGAACATGGTGTTCCAGCTGTTGTTTGGCCTGCCGCTGGAGATTGTACACAAGTGGTGGAGAGTCATGGTGGTGTACTTGTGTGGTGTTCTAGCAGGTAGGTACATCTCAGACCGGCGGCTAGTCGTACGCAGGGGGTGTACTCGTGTGGGGTCGTTTCATCCCAGCAATGGGAGTTCATGTAGATCAAAAATACAGAAATAAATGTACTAATTCCCCATTTAAAAAGTTTTATATTCTGCTTGTTGTTCAACAGTGTGTGAAACATGATATCTGTTATCCAGGTTCCCTGGCCCACTCTGTGACAGACCATTCCGTGGCGCTGGTGGGAGCTAGTGGAGGGGTGTACGCTCTCTTGGGGGCTCATTTAGCTGCAGTAGCTACGGTACGTCTCCTCATGGTTCACAGTCCTTCGCCACAGCAAGCTGGGTTGCCTGGCAAAATAGGTATCATGTGACATGAAGTGTGACCTTTTGGGATGGTCTAAACCAAAATGTTTAAGTATCCAGACACATTACTTGTTATAATGGAATTGTGATAGTGTTCACATGTAATCACGTGGCCTCTGATGGTGTTCTCATGTAATCACGTGGTCTCTGATGGTGTTCACATGTAATCATGTGGTGTCTGTGATAGTGTTCACATGTAATCACGTGGTCTCTGTGATGGTGTTCTCATGTAATCATGTGGTGTCTGTGATAGTGTTCACATGTAATAGCTTGGTCTCTGTGATAGTGTTCTCATGTAATCACGTGGTCTCTGTGATGGTGTTCACATGTAATCACATGGACTCTGTGATGGTGTTCACATGTAATGATGTGGTCTCCGTGATGTTACAGAACTGGAAGGAGATGAACTACAAGTGCTGTGAGGGGAACATTGTGCGTGTGATGCTGAGTGCGCCGGTCCGACTCGTCATCATCCTGGTGCTTGGTGAGTCACACAACAGACCCTGATGGTAATATGTCAGTGACAAGTAGAAATAGTGGACATCAGTACTGTGTTTAGGTTGATAGATCTATTGAAGTACGAATCTCATTTTAACAACACCTGTAGCAAATACTTTAAACATTTTCATGTTTCAAGTATTACCAACATGTCTAGCAGACCATAAGCAGAGCTGCCTCCCAGAATGCCCAATCTGCCTAGCTATCTTCTAAACCTGTTAGTCAGGGGGATTAAGCCAAATGTTTCTGTGTATCAGAGATTGTAAAGGCCGCCTCCACCATCCCAATGTTTCTGTGTATCAGAGATTGTAAAGGCCGCCTCCACCATCCCAATGTTTCTGTGTATCAGAGTTTGTAAAGGTCGCCTCCACCATCCCAATGTTTCTGTGTATCAGAGTTTGTAAAGGTCGCCTCCACCATCCCAATGTTTCTGTGTATCAGAGTTTGTAAAGGTCGCCTCCACCATCCCAATGTTTCTGTGTATCAGAGATTGTAAAGGTCGCCTCCACCATCCCAATGTTTCTGTGTATCAGAGATTGTAAAGGCCACCTTCACTCATCCTAATGTTTCTGTGTATCAGAGATTGTAAAGGCCGCCTCCACCATCCCAATGTTTCTGTGTATCAGAGATTGTAAAGGCCGCCTCCACCATCCCAATGTTTCTGTGTATCAGAGATTGTAAAGGCCGCCTCCACCATCCCAATGTTTCTGTGTATCAGAGATTGTAAAGGTCACCTCCACTCATCCCAATGTTTCTGTGTATCAGAGATTGTAAAGGCCGCCTCCACCATCCTAATGTTTCTGTGTATCAGAGATTGTAAAGGTCACCTCCACTCATCCCAATGTTTCTGTGTATCAGAGTCTGTAAAGGTCACCTCCACTTATCCCAATGTTTCTGTGTATCAGAGTCTGTAAAGGTCGCGTCCACCATCCCAATGTTTCTGTGTATCAGAGATTGTAAAGGTCGCCTCCACCATCCCAATATTTCTGTGTATCAGAGATTGTAAAGGCCGCCTCCACCATCCCAATGTTTCTGTGTATCAGAGATTGTAAAGGTCGCCTCCACCATCCCAATGTTTCAGTTGTGCCAGATACCAGTCTTGCCATCTACAGACGAGTCACAGCACCAGAGGACCAGAAGGTGGGAGTGTCTGCTCATGTTGGAGGCTTCCTCACAGGTGAGTGGTCAAGATGGGGACAGAGGCTGGCAGGCGGTCAAGTTGGTCACAGAGGGTGACAGGTGGTCGAGCTGGTCACAGAGGGTGGCGGGAGGTCAAGATGGGGACAGAGGGTGGTGGGTGGTCAAGATTGGGACAGAGGGTGACAGGTGGTCGAGATGGGGACAGAGGGTGACAGGTGGTCCAGATGGGGACAGAGGGTGGCAGGTGGTCCAGATGGGGACAGAGGGTGGCAGGTGGTCCAGATGGGGACAGAGGGTGACAGGTGGTCAAGATGGGGACAGAGGGTGGCAGGTGGTCGAGATGGGGACAGAGGGTGACAGGTGGTCAAGATGGGGACAGAGGGTGGCAGGTGGTCGAGATGGGGACAGAGGGTGGCAGGTGGTCGAGATGGGGACAGAGGGTGACAGGTGGTCCAGATGGGGACAGAGGGTGGCGGGTGGTCGAGATGGGGACAGAGGGTGGCAGGTGGTCGAGATGGGGACAGAGGGTGACAGGTGGTCGAGATGGGGACAGAGGGTGGTGGGTGGTCGAGATTGGGACAGAGGGTGGCGGGTGGTCAAGATGGGGACAGAGGGTGGCAGGTGGTCAAGATGGGGACAGAGGGTGACAGGTGGTCGAGATGGGGACAGAGGGTGACAGGTGGTCAAGATGGGGACAGGTGGTCAAGATGGGGACAGAGGGTGGCAGGTGGTCGAGATGGGGACAGAGGGTGGCGGGTGGTCAAGATGGGGACAGTTGGTCAAGATGGGGACAGAGGGTGGCAGGTGGTCAAGATGGGGACAGAGGGTTTTGGGTGGTCAAGATGGGGACAGAGGGTGGCAGGTGGTCAAGATGGGGACAGTTGGTCAAGATGGGGACAGGTGGTCAAGATGGGGACAGAGGGTGACAGGTGGTCAAGATGGGAACAGAGGGTGACAGGTGGTCCAGAGGGTGGCAGGTGGTCCAGATGGGGACAGAGGGTGGCAGGTGGTCAAGATGGGGACAGAGGGTGGCAGGTGGTCAAGATGGGGACGGTTGGTCAAGATGGGGACAGAGGGTGGCAGGTGGTCAAGATGGGGACAGAGGGTTGCGGGTGGTCAAGATGGGGACAGAGGGTGACAGGTGGTCAAGATGGGGACAGAGGGTGGCAGGTGGTCAAGATGGGGACAGAGGGTTGCGGGTGGTCAAGATGGGGACAGAGGGTGACAGGTGGTCAAGATGGGGACAGAGGGTGACAGGTGGTCAAGATGGGGACAGAGGGTTGCGGGTGGTCAAGATGGGGACAGAGGGTGACAGGTGGTCAAGATGGGGACAGAGGGTGACAGGTGGTCAAGATGGGGACAGAGGGTGGCAGGTGGTCAAGATGGGGACAGAGGGTGGCGGGAGGTCAAGATGGGGACAGAGGGTGACAGGTGGTCAAGATGGGGACAGAGGGTGACAGGTGGTCAAGATGGGGACAGAGGGTGGCAGGTGGTCAAGATGGGGACAGAGGGTTGCGGGTGGTCAAGATGGGGACAGAGGGTGACAGGTGGTCAAGATGGGGACAGAGGGTGGCGGGTGGTCAAGATGGGGACGGTTGGTCAAGATGGGGACAGAGGTTGACAGGTGGTCAAGATGGGGACAGAGGGTTGTGGGTGGTGAAGATGTGGACAGAGGGTGGCGGGTGGTCAAGATGGGGACAGAGGGTGACAGGTGGTAAAGATGCGAACAGAGGGTGACAGGAGGTCAAGATGGGGGGGGGACAGAGGGTGGCGGGTGGTCGAGATAGGGATGGTGTGATATTTGATGCCAGAGAGTGTTCTAAGGACATAGAAGGTGTCAAGTGGTCACGACATGTCCAATCTATGTCCAGACCAACTGTTCCACTCTGATACTACTGTTTCTATCTACAGGTCTGTTGCTTGGAATTCCTGTCCTGAAGAACATCAAGAAGCTGCCCTGGGAGACCACCCTCGGGTGGGTCACAATGGCCATATTCCTGCTGCTCGTGGCTTTTGCCGTTCTCTTCAATGGTCTTTACAAAGGCTACCCAGCTACAGATTGGAGTTAAGTTTGCTCACAGAGGCCGTGTGCAATTTGAACATTTTAGATTTTATACGACATTTTGCATAATTGTACATACCCATAATATTTTATACATTTTTAAACATATCCCTTTACTTTCACCACTTTCTCAGGATGTGTTTTTGAGAGCTAATGTGCATGTCTCATCACTGTTATATTCCTCCCTGTATATGTCATGTGTGCCTTACCTTAAACTTGTCTAAGATCTGAATCAAAACTTCCAAGATGAGATAAAATTATTACATCTTGTGATTTCGTGGCATATGTGACATAGAGAATGTTATAGACCTATTTCTTGGTTTTTTCCGAATGTAATACCAAGGTAATCATTTCTATATATGGAGACCCATGTTTAGTATGGTGTGTGGTATGTTGCCTCGACAAACTTAATGGAGTACGTGTCAAATTTCACCACACCGATGTCACAGGGTTCCACAGATCAGGAATACAGTAAATGTTTTTCTAACATTTCTTTTTAGCTGGTTCACAGTTTAATTTCTGATTTCAAAGCACTGTTGATGAAAGTATAAACGAAAAACATGTCTTTTGAGTTATCTGTGAAAAGTATGCAGATTTTGGTAAAATAAAATAAATGGAACGAAAGAGGCATACAGCATGGAGAGTGAATGAGTGAAAGAGTTCCTTCCCTTTTCCTAGGATTTCCTTTGAAGAGTTATAGCATGTGACATCCTGTTGAAATCAAATGCCAAGCCATATTAAGACAATTGTTGAACAGTTATTCTATTTTCTTAACTATAATGTTATGCAAAACCTTGGTGTGTTGATGTTGTGTTTGCAATAGATGCATAATATTTATTGTTTTTATGATCACTGTGAAGGATGACAGTGATGGAATGTAGATTTCTCGGTTGATGCTCAGTTTGTTTCAGGACAATCCTTGTGTTTTATATCAGTATTGAAGAATGTAGAACTGATTTGTATGCATTTAGGATTGGAAATAAGTAAAGGGATGGAAAAATCATGATTTGCATTATCAGGTATTTTTACTGTAGTGGATTTTGATGATGATGCAGAGGTCAAGTAGTGACTCAGAGGTCAAGTAGTAACACAGAGGTCAAGTGACACAGAGGTAAATAATCCACAGGTCAAGTAGTGACTCAGAGGTCAAGTATTTAAAGAGGTCAAGTAGTAACAGAGGTCAAGTAGTAACACAGGTCAAGTAGAAACACAGGTCAAGTAGTAACACAGGTCAAGTAGTAACAGAGGTCAAGTAGTAAAAGGTCAAGGAGTAACACAGAGGTCAAAATCCACAGGTCAAGTAGTGACACAGAGGTCAAGTGACACAGAGGTCAAGTGACACAGAGGTAAATAATCCACAGGTCAAGTAGTGACTCAGAGGTCAAGTATTTAAAGAGGTCAAGTAGTAACAGAGGTCAAGTAGTAACACAGGTCAAGTAGTAACACAGGTCAAGTAGTAACAGAGGTCAAGTAGTAACAGAGGTCAAGGAGTGACACAGAGGTCAAGTAGTAACAGAGGTCAAGTAGTAAAAGAGGTCAAGGAGTAACACAGAGGTCAAGTGACACAGAGGTCAATAATCCACAGGTCAAGTAGTGACACAGAGGTCAAGTGACACAGAGGTCAATAATCCACAGGTCAAGTAGTGACACAGAGGTCAAGTGACACAGAGGTCAATAATCCACAGGTCAAGTAGTGACACAGAGGTCAAGTGACACAGAGGTCAATAATCCACAGGTCAAGTAGTGACACAGAGGTCAAGTGACACAGAGGTCAATAATCCACAGGTCATGTAGTGACACAGAGGTCAAGTGACACAGAGGTCAATAATCCACAGGTCATGTAGTGACAAAAAGGTCAAGAGGTAACAGGACACATACTTTCAAAGAGGTCAAGTTGTGAAGGTCAAGTAATGACACAGAGGTCACTGACACAATCAGAAGTCAAGGCAACACTAAGACGTCCCGGAAGACTGTTGGAGTCAATGTTAGACAGGTATTTTCAAGAAATGGGGAAATAAGTCTTGAGTTGATAATTGTTGATATACCAAGACGGGATTATAAGATGTTTTTGTTTCTAATTTGTTCTCATATGACAATACTTTATGATCAACTCAGAGGTAATGAAGTTAAAGTTTCATTAACTAGCTGGCCATGTGTCGAACACTCTGTTTGGTTGTAGTGTAGTCAGATGGACCCTCTGAAGTGGTCGGAAGTCCGGTGATGTTGAAGTAAATTGTTGAACATGTTTGCTGGACTGTACTTGCAGTTTCAAGTCTGTTTGATGTTTTGCCTGAAAAACTCATTTAGACTCAATATATTTGTATAATTATTTTCTATAGTTTTGTAGTGACCGAGACCTTATACACTGTCAGTGTAACTGTGTATTACTTAAACGATCTGATGTAGTATTATGAGATAGCTTGATATTTTCTCTGTACTCAGTGTTGAACATGTGTATCTGGTATTTTGGTGTGAACAAGTTACTTAAACAGTAGGAGGCATGAAAGAAGTTTGTAATCTGTTGGAAAAATGTATTTCTTTTGGTATATTTTTAAATGAAAAGCATGCGTGTAAATGTAGCCCATTTCTGATGTGAACAACAGCAGAAGTTCTGATAATTCACTGTTCATGTTTTGTCATTAAAAGGTTGACGCTATGCAAGTGACAGTATCATATAACAGCATTATCAGATAGTAAGAGGCCCCTCACCAGATTGAAACAATGAGTTTTGCCTTTTCAAAGCCATTTCTGGTACATTGCTTTCTACAACGGAAAGCTCTAACTTTCTAACAGCTAATGGCTGTTGTGATGCTGAAAAGGTTTTAGTTCCATTCTCTCATGGTGTAAGATATCGATTTGTCACTTGTCATCGAACTTCCACCATTTTGCCAGTCAAATTCTTGCCATGTCAACCATCATATTTGTTACGGAATTAATAAGCATATGTGACATTTTTGTATTTTCATTATATAATATCCCACATGAAACTGTTTCTTTCCCAACATGACACCACTTTGTCTGCTTGTGTCTACCTATTGATATTTGTATTGTCAAAGGTGTTTTGAGAATTTTACTATTTTTCTACTACTTTTCTTTTTTTTATCATCTATTAAGAGCACATAAATTTTGCTTTTTAATATGCATATGGTTGAGTTTCATAAGGGTTATGAATAAAAATGTATGTTGTTACCTGTTTAGTTGATACTTGTATATCTGTCAGCATCCGAGAGACTGCCCTGATTTGTGTGCACATGCTTGAGTAGAATAAGGGATCATTCACTCGTTCCAGTGTAATTATGTTTGTCTTAATCATATCAAAGGTAAATAATTTGGGTAAATGAGGGTGTTGGGCCATGTATGAAGTAGAATGTTGTTTTTGAAATGTATATTCAAGACAGAAATACCCATTACAAGCAGAGATTTGATGTATGGGAATAATTCATTCTACTACGGCCTGACGTTTGTCATGCTGTTATTTGAATACATGTTTTCCTTTCAAACATGGTCGTACAGATTCTATAAGATTTCCCTCAGTTGGATTATAATAAATTATTATGAATTATTGAAGGGTTTGTTTGTAGAGGGAGTGAACGAGTATGGTTTTATGCCGCTTTTAGCAATATTCCTGTAAGATCACAGCAGGGAAGACCAGAGAATGGGCTTCATACATTGTACCCATGTGGGGAATTGAACCCGGGTCTTTATCATGACAAGCGAACACTTTAACCACGAGGCTACCCCACTGCCACCTCTAATGTAGAATACAACGTCTTCATGTTTAAAAAAAAATAGTGACATACAAAAAAAATTTTAGAATGTCATGTCAATTTGAAAAAAACAACATGCTAATTTAATAATAATATGTGATGCTCAAAATAAAGTTTATTTAATCAAGTGGTGTGTTTGTACATATTGCTTCCTGATGCAAAAACATGCTGATTTTTATTTAGTTTTATTAAATACGTTGTTGTACGGCACAAAGCATGTGACATTTAAACAGTGTGATGTTGTGAAAGTTTTTGACTTGAACTATATCTAATGGCATGTACATATCCCAGTTGAATTTCATAATTTTATTTTATTGTGTTAGCTGTTATGTTTCAGTTTTTCTCTTTCATCATCAATTTATAATAGGCATGTCATGACTGTTGTTTTGTAGTCATGTTATAGTGAATGTAGATGCCACGCATGATTGGTGTGTGACAACAAGTCAAGCAATATGTGATTATTGATAACTTGCACTGTTTTTTGTAAGGAATTAAATCAAATATATAACTCTTTATTTGTGTTTTGGTTTTACTCCACCATTAAGGAAATCAAGAAGACATCTGATTGCTTCACAAATCAGGTAAAAACATGAGCCAACTGTGATTGCTCAATCTAAATTCTTCCCACTGAGGGTGCCCCACAGGGATTTACTGAGGGTGCCCCAAAGGGATTTACTGAGGGTGCCCCACAGGGATTTACTGAGGGTGCCCCAAAGGGATTTACTGAGGGTGCCCCAAAGGGATTTACTGAGGGTGCCCCACAGGGATTTACTGAGGGTACCCCAAAGGGATTTACTGAGGGTGCCCCACAGGGATTTACTGAGGGTGCCCCACAGGGATTTACTGAGGGTGCCCCAAAGGGATTTACTGACCGTACCCCATAGGGATTTACTGAGGGAACCCCATAGGGATTTACTGAGGGTGCCCCAAAGGGATTTACTGAGGGTGCCCCACAGGGATTTACTGAGGGTACCCCAAAGGGATTTACTGAGGGTGCCCCCAAGGGATTTACTGAGGGTACCCCAAAGGGATTTACTGAGGGTACCCCAAAGGGATTTACTGAGGGTGCCCTACAGGGATTTACTGAGGGTACCCCAAAGGGATTTACTGAGGGTACCCCAAAGGGATTTGCTATGAAAGCATCACAAACTGTATCTTCAATTATAGCGTTCCATTGCAACCTCACCAGTAACAAACATTGACTGTAAGCTCCTGATTCTGATACCCAGGCGACGTACTTTAATTATCTCCTTACGGACCTCACCGAGTTTTTAATTTTATCCATTTCAAATATGCACAGCAGTTTTATTTTGCGCAACCTTCACGCCTCAATCTCCTCTCTTACAACTGGATAGTTGAGATATTCAGACGTCTTTTTTCAACCGATGTGAAATTCCATGTATATTCCGGGGATTCGTGGGGGAGACTTGAACCCAGTACCCTTGCTTATTGTAAGAGTGGACTAAGATTGATCGGCTGGACAGGTTCATGTGATTTGGTTCATTGTGATGCAGGTCATTTGGACCTGCATCACTTGTATTCAAGTTAAACTGCGACATGGTATCTCAGTAGGTTAGCACTATAAAATCGGCATTAGTCCGGACTAGTACAAGCATGCACGCACACACACCGTCGCTATGTAAGTGCAATAATCTTTAACTCGACGTTAAACCCCATTTTCACCTTACCTCATATCCAAGTCTTACAACAAAACTTGCACTTGCATAGATGTTCAAACATGAAACGTGAAAGTTTATTCTTCTCTGTCAGTGTGTAAACTAGTGAATAACCTTGACCTTGACGTTCAAGTTAAATCAACAGTCAAGTAGACCCGTGAAGATCCGGGGTAGAATAGGTCTTCAGCAACCCATGCTTGTCGTAAAAGGTGACTATGCTTGTCGTAAGAGTCGACTAACGGGATCGGGTGGTCAGGCTCGCTGACTTGGTTGATGCATGTCATTGTATCCCAGTTGCTCATGACATCAGTCACTGGATCATCTGGCCCAGACTGGATTATTTACAGACCGCCGTCACATAGCTTGAGTATTTCTGAGCGCGGCGTGAAACAAACAAACAAACAAATAAAGCATAGTATACCATGTAATAAAGATGTAATATAATCAGACGCTAGTTTATCGCCCGGCTACTGTGTCACGTGTTGTCACGTGATCTAAGATGAGGGGATGGAGAATAAATACTCCCCCTCTATGTAAACATTCATTTCCTATACACTGCCTCAAAGTCGAGGTGAATCTGCATACACACTTGCATCACACCTTTATTCTACCACACCCTGCACTCAATGAACAGCACAGGTGCATGTGCCGGCATTGATCCAGGGACATTGGAAGTCGATTGACATTATTCGAAGTACTACCGTGTTTTGATGTGTTCGACCTGACATACCGCCGGCGGCCTCTCTGTGCAGGTGAATATGAACGGAGGGAAACTGGGCCGTGGCGTCGTGGACTGCATGGTCACCACCACGACCTCATTACACAACGCGAGCGGTATGTCTTTTCCCTGAAGGGAGATATTGATATTTGGGGTGAGATGTACGTTAATGTTCATCCTGCTAGTTTAGGTTTATTTGAATGTAATATTGACGTGTGGTAACTTCGGTTTAAATAAAAGGGTCACTCTTTTTAAATCGGCATCATCTGTTAAAGCATTTGTTTACATTGGAATGAAGACTCCTACTTTTTTGTTCTCTCTCGTGCTTGCCGAAACAGGCTTGGTTGGTTGGTTTGTTGTTTAACGCCGCACTATATGACGGCGGTCTGTAAATAATTGAGTCTGGACCTGACAATCCAGTGATTGACACCATGGGCACCGATCCACGCATTTGGGATTGATGACATGCACCAACGGAGTCATCGAGCCTGACCACCCGTTCCCGTTAGTCGCCTCTTTCGACAAGCAGAGTCGCCTTTTACGGCAAGTATGGGTTGCTGAAGACCTACTCTCTCTCTCTCTCTCTCTCTCTTTCTCTCTCTCTCTCTCTCTCTCTCTCCATGTAGATGTACCTACAGTATCGATTGCATATACAAACTATTAAACATGTCTAGCATAGCTGAATACTGAACGTTATATATAGATCAACCATGCGTTACACGGCACATATGTTACATTTGTCCCATAACAGAAACCACAAAACCGATTTGATATTGTAAAACAGGATTTGTTGAGTTTACTGTTAAAGCTAGCTATAAGAAGAACACTGGGCACATCAAAGCATCTGCAGCAATACCATCGGATGAAAATGTGAATAATCTACACAAATTTTCAGATTAGGTGACGCAAACAGACGCAGTGACATGCACCTCTAGTTGATATTCACTGCAACAGAGCGCGACGTAAACAGCCACACAAAGAGAACTATCCTTGCTACCCCTGCAGTTGTGAGTCATGTGTTGTTATCCCTTGTACTGCAGCGCTGTGAACAGGCGGGGTATGTTCCAGGCCTCATACGTCCTCGCTAGTTGCATCCCCACTAGTACAGGGGCACCATGTCTTAGGATATAACACTTAAGCTGAGGACAACTGAAAACTGTTGGACACAGCCGATGACAATTGAGAGCTGTTGAAGACAATTCAGGACAATTGAGTTCAGTTCAGGACAACTGTCAACTGTTAAAGACCTCTAAGGACGACTTAGAACAGCTAAAGACAGCTGAGGGCAATCGAGGTCTGTTAAGGGCAGTTAAAGACAAGTGATTACAGATGAGGACAAATGAACACAACGGAGGACAACTAAACAACTGACGACAGCTGAGGCCAATTGAAGAGCAGCAGAGCACAGCGAAGTCCAATTGAAGAGCCACAGAGCAAAGTTAAGGCCAATTGAAGGCAACAGAGCACAGTTGGGCCAATTGAAGACAACAGAGCACAGCTAAGGCCAATTGAAGACAACAGGGCACAGTTAAGGCCAATTGAAGGCAAAAGAGCACAGTTAAGTCCAATTAAAGACAACAGAGCACAGCGAAGGCCAATTGAAGAGCCACAGAGCAAAGTTAAAGCCAATTGAAGGCAACAGAGCACAGTTTGGACAGTAGGGAGCGACGTCGCCATGTGTGGTGGATGCGGATGTAAATGCAAGGATGCCGGGGATGCTGAGAATGGTGACGTACGTACACAACCCGATACATGGTACTTTAATGTAATGGCCATATGCAGGTGTGGAAAGCGACACTCCCCCTTAATTAGTCATTAGTCCATAACTCCCACACGGTAAGGCATTAGTCCGGACTAATACAAGCAGACACACACACACACACACACACACACACACACACACACACACACACACACACACACACACACACGTGCATGCACGTAGCTATATAAGTGCAGTAATCCTGGACGCGACGTTAAACTCCATTTCATCTCACCTCACCAACCTCACCTTCATTGAAAATCCTATATTTCATTAAATTTCCTTTCCGAAACATACATTGTAAAACAAACATGTCCAGTGAAAGATTTATTTGATATTGTTAAGCCTGAAGACAAATAAAAGAACTTCATTTTAGGGAACACTTCTTTGTCATAGTTACACATATAACAGCCGTCCCCATCCCTTCAAACAATATAAACATGGGTCGGCTAACATTACTGTTAAAAATGCATGTTTAAGGGGAGCAACAAAGACCTGCACCCGTGCAAGAAATGTATGTTGACGCCATGTGTGACCCACATCTGTCTCGGGGTGAGGAGGACGGACTACCTGAAACATTGCAACTGCTACCCCCCGGCCATCTTTATTCCTGCCATAACCGTAGTCCAGGTGAGACGTCTTTATTCCTGCCATAACCATAGTCCAGGTGAGACGTCTTTATTCCTGCCATAACCATAGTCCAGGTGAGACGTCTTTATTCCTGGCATAACAATAGTCCAGGTGAGACGTCTTTATTCCTGGCATAACAATAGTCCAGGTGAGACGTCTTTATTCCTGCCATAACCATAGTCCAGGTGAGACGTCTTTATTCCTGCCATAACAATAGTCCAGGTGAGACGTCTTTATTCCTGGCATAACAATAGTCCAGGTGAGACGTCTTTATTCTTCTCATAACAATAGTCCAGGTGAGACGTCTTTATTCTTCTCATAACAATAGTCCAGGTGAGACGTCTTTATTCCTGTATTAACAATAGTCCAGGTAAGACGTCTTTATTCCTGTATTAACAATAGTCCAGGTGAGACGTCTTTATTCCTGTATTAACAATAGTCCAGGTGAGACGTCTTTATTCCTGCCATAACCATAGTCCAGGTGAGACGTCTTTATTCTTCTCATAACAATAGTCCAGGTGAGACGTCTTTATTCTTCTCATAACAATAGTCCAGGTGAGACGTCTTTATTCTTCTCATAACAATAGTCCAGGTGAGACGTCTTTATTCCTGTATTAACAATAGTCCAGGTGAGACGTCTTTATTCCTGCCATAACCATAGTCCAGGTAAGACGTCTTTATTCTTCTCATAACAATAGTCCAGGTGAGACGTCTTTATTCTTCTCATAACAATAGTCCAGGTGAGACGTCTTTATTCCTGTATTAACAATAGTCCAGGTGAGACGTCTTTATTCCTGCCATAACCATAGTCCAGGTAAGACGTCTTTATTCTTCTCATAACAATAGTCCAGGTGAGACGTCTTTATTCTTCTCATAACAATAGTCCAGGTGAGACGTCTTTATTCTTCTCATAACAATAGTCCAGGTGAGACGTCTTTATTCTTCTCATAACAATAGTCCAGGTGAGACGTCTTTATTCCTGTATTAACAATAGTCCAGGTGAGACGTCTTTATTCCTGCCATAACCATAGTCCAGGTAAGACGTCTTTATTCTTCTCATAACAATAGTCCAGGTGAGACGTCTTTATTCTTCTCATAACAATAGTCCAGGTGAGACGTCTTTATTCCTGTATTAACAATAGTCCAGGTAAGACGTCTTTATTCCTGTATTAACAATAGTCCAGGTGAGACGTCTTTATTCCTGTATTTACAATAGTCCAGGTAAGACGTCTTTATTCCTGTATTAACAATAGTCCAGGTGAGACGTCTTTATTCTTCTCATAACAATAGTCCAGGTGAGACGTCTTTATTCTTCTCATAACAATAGTCCAGGTGAGACGTCTTTATTCCTGTATTAACAATAGTCCAGGTAAGACGTCTTTATTCCTGTATTAACAATAGTCCAGGTGAGACGTCTTTATTCCTGTATTAACAATAGTCCAGGTGAGACGTCTTTATTCCTGCCATAACAATAGTCCAGGTGAGACGTCTTTATTCCTGGCATAACAATAGTCCAGGTAAGACGTCTTTATTCCTGTATTAACAATAGTCCAGGTAAGACGTCTTTATTCCTGTATTAACAATAGTCCAGGTGAGACGTCTTTATTCCTGCCATAACCATAGTCCAGATGAGACGTCTTTATTCTTCTCATAACCATAGTCCAGGTAAGACGTCTTTATTCCTGTATTAACCATAGTCCAGGTGATACGTCTTTATTCCTGTATTAACAATAGTCCAGGTGAGACGTCTTTATTCCTGTCATAACAATAGTCCAGGTGAGACGTCTTTATTCTTCTCATAACCATAGTCCAGGTGAGACGTCTTTATTCCTGTATTAACAATAGTCCAGATGAGACGTCTTTATTCTTCTCATATCCATAGTCCAGGTGATACGTCTTTATTCCTGTATTAACCATAGTCCAGGTGAGACGTCTTTATTCCTGTATTAACAATAGTCCAGGTGAGACGTCTTTATTCTTCTCATAACAATAGTCCAGGTGAGACGTCTTTATTCCTGTATTAACCATAGTCCAGGTGAGACGTCTTTATTCCTGTATTAACAATAGTCCAGGTAAGACGTCTTTTTTCTTCTCATAACAATAGTCCAGGTGAGACGTCTTTATTCCTGTTTTAACCATAGTCCAGGTGAGACGTCTTTATTCCTGTATTAACCATAGTCCAGGTGAGACGTCTTTATTCCTGTATTAACCATAGTCCAGGTGAGACGTCTTTATTCCTGTCATAACTATAGTCCAGGTGAGACGTCTTTATTCCTGTATTAACCATAGTCCAGGTGAGACGTCTTTATTCCTGTATTAACCATAGTCCAGGTGAGACGTCTTTTTTCTTCTCATAACAATAGTCCAGGTGAGACGTCTTTATTCCTGTATTAACCATAGTCCAGGTGAGACGTCTTTATTCCTGTATTAACAATAGTCCAGGTAAGACGTCTTTTTTCTTCTCATAACAATAGTCCAGGTGAGACGTCTTTATTCCTGTTTTAACCATAGTCCAGGTGAGACGTCTTTATTCCTGTATTAACCATAGTCCAGGTGAGACGTCTTTATTCCTGGCATAACAATAGTCCAGGTAAGACGTCTTTTTTCTTCTCATAACAATAGTCCAGGTGAGACGTCTTTATTCCTGTATTAACAATAGTCCAGGTAAGACGTCTTTTTTCTTCTCATAACAATAGTCCAGGTGAGACGTCTTTATTCCTGTTTTAACCATAGTCCAGGTGAGACGTCTTTATTCCTGTTTTAACCATAGTCCAGGTGAGACGTCTTTATTCCTGTATTAACAATAGTCCAGGTAAGACGTCTTTTTTCTTCTCATAGCTATAGTCCAGGTGAGACGTCTTTATTCTTCTCATAACCATAGTCACTAGGGCTTCTGGTGTGCGTTCACCGACACACATTGTTGTGTATGCATGTATAATGTTTGACGGGCACTTGATGCATCCACGCATGCATTGGTGTTTCCTATCCTGCAGTATTTGGATTGAATTCATTTTGTAAATGACAGTTTATCTGGTTGAGTATTGCAAGGTATTCTCCGACCATCTAGAATTGGGATCGATTACATGCATCACTTCAAGTCAGCGAGCGTGACCACCCGATCCCGTTAGTCGCCTCTTACGACAAGCATAGTCACCTTTTTGGGTGAAGAAATGTATCAAATCAATTTGGAATTCTTCGTGATGTTTTTATTCCTTTCCACAGATAGTGATATTCGCCGTGTATGCCGTTGAGCTTGCCGGCACCTCGACGCCGGTTACCGCTACTACCGGGTACCCCCGGGACAGCCCCCTGGTGTACCGGCCAACACGGCGCTACGAAGCCTGGAGATACCTCACCTACATGTTTATCCATCAGGGGTACGTCAGACGGTTGTAGCCTCAGTTTATTGCCATTGAACGTATGGTCGGCTTTGACCACCAACACTTATATGTATGGAATCCTAGATGGGACATTGTAGCGTTGTCGCCCCTACAAAAACAAGCAAAAAGTGTAAAAATCACCAAAGCGCGACAATGCGACAACGCTTTCTTTACACATTTTTGATGGGGCGACCACGCGACATTTTTCAGGGTCAAATATGTTTTGGTGTTTTAAGGTAAAATAAATAAGAGTATTCAAACGACAATGCGTCAATGCGACAATACGACAATGCGACAAATGACCAACACGTCACGTTGTCGTATTGTCGCGCTTTGGTTAATTTTGACATTTTTTTTGCTTGTTTTTGTAAGGCCGACAATGCGACAGCGCGACAATGTCCCTTCTAGGATTCGTTATATATTTGCTTCCAGTCCATCAAAAAGTTCTATATTACACGGAAGATGTTTATACATCAGTGTTATGTGCCTGGCTTGTATAGGAACTTAAACGTCATGGACGCATGGCAAATCTCAAAGAGCATGTCACATTTAAGTTCTAAGCATTTCGTCAATTGGAAGCTGTTATTTCAAAAATATGAAAATGTGTGACACTCTTTATAAGTAATTCATTATTGTTGTTGTTGTTGTTGTTGTTGTTGTAGTAATTATTATTATTATCATTATTATTATTATTCCAGATGGGAACACTTGATAGGCAACATGCTTCTTCAGCTGTTCGTGGGCGTGTCTCTGGAGATGATTCACAAGTGGTGGCGAGTTATGATAGTCTACCTGTGTGGCATCATTGCAGGTAGGGCCTTGGGCCACGCCCCACTCGGGAGGGAGAGTCCATCTGTGTCACAGCGGCCGGCGGCATGGACGACAACCCACGCCGCCGTGATACCCATTGTGACCACCCAATCCTCATTAGTTGTCTCTTGCGACAAGCAAAGGGACCTGGCGTTTCTGGAACATAGAGGGGAACACGGGTGGCCCAGTCGTCTAAGGCGCCGCGATTCGTTGTGCGTCCCTTGGGCACGCCAGAAACCTATGATTGTGGGTTCGAATCCCGGTTCGACCCGATCATGTTTCACGGTTTGTCAGCACCATACCCGTGCTCGTGGGTTTCACCGAAGTGGTAAACGTCCGAGACCAGATCACTTCGGGCTTTCCTCCCACATTAAGCTGACACGCCGTGATATAACTGTAATCATGTTAAAAGCGGCGTTAAACCCAACTCACTCACACACTGTAACATAGAGCATACCTGAGTATTGCCCTGGAGAAATCCTCCCTTACCCAGGACAAACACCGGTTCATGTTCAGAGCTGCAGATTTTCATTCGACCCACGTGACAAGGCACTTACCACCTCTGCTTTACATGTTCTCGCGTATATTTCCTTTATCATTGCTTTCAGTATAGTTATTATCGTCTAAAAGGGTCTACCATTTCTGGTGTCCCCCGGCGTGATATTGCTGGAATATTTTTAAAACCGGCGTAAAACCAAACTCACTCACTAAAAGGGTCCTGGGTTAGAATCACCTGTTACATTGTCGTTCCGGGGCTCTGGATAGACCAGTAAATGACCTACAAATGTTTTTATGTTGAGATTCCGAGAAGAATAGGTCCCCAGTACCCCATGTCTGTCTCCCTGTTGGGATTCCGGGGAAGAACCACAGTACTTCATGATTGAATCATAAGAGCCGACCAAAGAGGATGGACGGTCAGGCTCAGTGACCTGGTTGATTGAGTGTCATCGTGCCGGGATGACGTGGGTCGCTGCTCATGGTTTAGTCACTGGTTTGCCTTGACAACGCTGGAATATTGTGTGCGGCATTAAACAACATTCGCTCCCTTACTTAGTATACAAGTATCATAATGGGAAGTATCTCAACATAGAAGAAGAATGGGCATAGTAACGTCATAAACAATGACATTGTTAATGTTTTATTACCCGCATGTATTACTGACTTCTGCGAGGCTCCTATCTGGTCTGCAGGCTCCCTACTCCACTCGATGATAGAGCATAACATGGCCCTGGTAGGAGCGAGTGCTGGAGCCTTTGCCCTTGTGGGCGCTCATCTTGCTGTCGTTATCACGGTGAGTCAGAGAGAACATAATTTGTCACGTGTGTGGTCATATCGCAAGAGCTCATCTAGCTGGATTCGCGTCCACTTTAGTCTTGGCACTCCTGTGTTTCCACCTGTTTGTCCATCTATCTCTCCTTTAAAACGCGAAGTCTTCCTGAAACTTTGCATAGCTGGTTCAGGCAATATTGTCCTTATAAACTCTGTTCAGATTAAACATGGCCACCACAGCAGCCATATTGAAAAGGGCAATTTTGTAGCTTTAGAGAATTTGAAATTCTGTAAGGATGGTTTGTGTGCAACAACATATATTTTTTAGTAATATTGTGTTTGTCCTGCTATGATCTCATGTCATATTACATGTGCCCGTAAAAGTAGATGTAGTGTTTAGGCGAGGCAGCCATATTGAAAATAACATTTCGATAGAGACGTTAATAGCGGTACTCTCTCGTTAACGGTCTTTTCACTCTGTTAATGAAGTGTTTACAATGTAACTATTTCAGAATTGGAAACAGATGCGCGTGAAGTGCGAGTGCAAGAGCAAATGTCTGCCGAGTGACTTTGACCGCACCCTGCCCACCGCTCCGTTACGACTCGTCGTTGTCTTGCCATTGGGTAGGTGTCATGAGTGTGTATATACTCACCACCAATAGAATACCATAAATGTTGGTTGCTACATGAAGACTTCTCATATTCAAGAGATATTAGGTTGGTTCGACGCACAAGCGAACATACTGGTATGTCGGTGAACCGATGCTCATGAACGCATCACATGTGACGTCATAGATCCGACTCGAGATGCACCATTTGTCTCGTGCAGGAATACCGTGCATAGCTCGGAATTCACGTGCAGTATATTATGATAAGAATAAGACACTGGTTACACTTGACCGATTGTTAGTTTTGTCATTAAGTGGTACACATTGGAAACATCTCTTCTTAATGTACATACTTTTCTTATTGTTTCCATGTATCGCGTTTCTTTTGGCGGTGAGTATATATCATCCCAAACTCGCTTCCACCAGACAGGAGACATTATGTGGGTGAGATCAAGCGATGTCACCTAGCAGATATCACTTCGATATAATTGCATTACAATGTTTTGCAGACTATTTTAACGTCATCGGTTTCCATGACGTCACAATCAAATAATTAGCTGTACCGGATCTTACTGTTTACAATCAAAAAGTTGGAAGAATCATTTTGGATGATAAATAGAATCTCACCCTTGTATTTTTTTACGTCAAATATATCAACACTCGAATACTGAATGTTAGTTTACGCCGGATTGTGCATCGAAGCAGCTTTATCAACGCGGCCTTTAAGACCATTGGTTTACGTAGCAAACATCAAATTATGAAGTTCCCGCGAGATTTAAGAATCGATAGGTAAATTTGGTAAATAAATTCGTTTGTATAAAACGAGATAGTTTTAGCAAATGGAACAGCATGGTTATTGTTAGAAGTAATGTGCAATCACAATATCGTCTCTGTTCCAGTCTTACATGAACTCGGTCGTGCCATCTACAAACACGTAGCTTCCCCAGAAGACTGGAGGATCGCAGTGGGGGCTCACATCGGTGGTATCCTAGCAGGTATAGTACACAACTGTCACAGGGCATGTTCGCCAATGTGTCTGCTTTATCACACCCATCGAGACTGGAGCCTGGCGAGAAGTCAAACCAGTGGCTGATTATTACATGAGTGAGTGAGTGAGTATGGTTTTACGCCGCGTTTAGCAATATTCCAGCAATATCTCGGCGGTGGACACCAGAACTGGGCTTCACACATTGTACCCATGTCGGGAATTAAACCTTGGTTTTCGGCGAGACGAGCGAACGCTTTAACAACTAGGCTATCCCCGCCACTTATTATTACGTGTATGACCGGGGACATAAATGATAATATCAATCAGACTCAATATTGACTCAATAACTCAGTCTCTTAGCTGTAGATGCCTAGTACAACGGGTTATCTACAATCAGTGTACATCACACTTGCTGTAGCCTAAACCGTAATGTCAGTATTCATTTGGGGAAGTTTCCGAAAATAGGATTTTGAAATAATATCAATATTCGAAACAAGAACATTTTCGATCCAACATGATAGTTCTCTTCAACCAATTTTTTACTGTTCGGTTTTAAACAATGTATCTGGTGTTTTACTTTTAAAATGTACTCATGCATCCCTTAACCTATGTGGGGGCGGTCGGGTAGCGGTTAAAGCGTTCGCTCGTCACGCCGAAGACCCTGGTTCGATTCCCGACATGGGTACAATGTGTGAAGACCATTTCTGGTGTCCCCCGCCGTGATATTGCTGGAATATTGCTAAAAGCGGCGTAAAGTCAAACTCACTCCTTAACCTGTGAAGATACGAGATAGAATTGATCTTCAGCAAGCCATGGTGGCGTAAAAGTTTTACTTATCAAATCCTGTTTTGATATTAGTCAAGGTTAACAGAATTTTTAACGGAAAGTTATCTCCCCAAGGCATCTATGACTGCTGACGGGATTATTATTTTCTGCTTACGATGAAAAGCCTAATATGCCTGTTTTGAAAATAAGCTTCAGATGAGAGAGCTTCTGTTGCTCATGAACGCTGTTTATCGCAGGTGTCCTCTTGGGCGTCCCACTGCTGAAGAACATGGTTAAGCTTCCATGGGAGACAACTCTTGGCATCATCACGGCGGTGGTGTTCTTGCTCTTCGTCACTGCCGCTGTTCTGTTTAACGGGTTATACAAAGGCTACCCACCGACAGACTGGAGTTGAATCGGTTTCGACTGATATGAAATATCCGCTTTCGTCATTTCTGTACTTCTGCTAATTAATATGGCACCCTTATGATCTTCGTGTACATTAATGTTCATTCTTAAAATGTTGTTTTATGATAGTTACTAGGGGACTGGGCGTTATTCGTTAAACAGTTTAGTCTGATGTGGCTACCTCGACGGTTTACTGAAATGAGTATTCACATTTTCGTCATTACAAGCCATCTGTCGGCGTGATGTAAATGACTTCGTCATAAACATGTCATCTTTTCGTCATGTTCATGTCACTATATCACATGACCAGGTTTGTTTGTTTGTTTGTTGTTTACCGCCGCACTCAGCAATATTCCGGCAAAATGACGACTGTCTGTAAATAATCGAGTATAGACCAGAACATCCAGTGATCCACGAGCAACGATACACGCAACTGGAATACGATGACATACATCAACCAAGTCAGCGAGCCTGACCACCCGATCCCGTTAGTCGCCTCTTACGACAAGCATAGTCGCCTTTTACGGCAAGCATGGGTTGGAGATCCGGGGTAGAATAGATCTTCAGCATATTAAACATTATCGTGTTAAATGCCAATGTGATATTGCGTGGCATAGTTTAAGTATTCCCACTTTTTGGTGGACCTTTATGAATAGTATTTCTGTCGGTTCAGCTGTGAAATTGAAATTGAAGTCAGCTGTGTAACTCCACGTGGTTGATGAAGAATTTGACTCAATCCCTCTGCTGCTGAGCCCGAAGGGGCTGACCATTTGATATTTCAATTATTTTATATTTTTTTAAACATTTTCTATTCAATTTCTTTTTCTTCCAACAGTGTGAGGAATGATACATTTTTTAAACATTTTCTGGGACAAAAAACCCATCGAATTTGATCCAGTTGGGCAACACAAATCGAATTTAGTTACATGCTGAATTGGTATAAATATTGATACTATTTTGATGTTGTTTGCTTTGTAGAAAATAGATTTTTTTTATGATGCTTAACATATTTTGTTTTGAATGCACGCCTGGTAGTTAAATAGATAGTTGGGATTGCACACTTCTTATAAGTAATTAATTCGTTCGATGATATTGAAGTTTTTTCAATACGCGTCAATACAATTATTACCAATATACAAATAAAAAATAGTTACCTGAATTTAAATCAATATGACAAACATATTGTGTTTTTGTGGAATACAATAATTCATTTGATAAGAATCATCGTTCTCTTCTTGATGATCAGAATAAAAATCGTGTCATGCAGGTACCAATTTGATTCCATTCAGTGACAAACCTAAAGGCGACTTGGGAATGGCCCAGCCCGACAACTTCATATCCGTGTTTGAAGTATTGGAGAAAACACGCTTACGAGGTTTTGGTAGACAGAGCATGCCCTGGGGAGGGGGAAAACCAAGGGGGCGAAGGGGGTGAAGTGTTTTTCCATACTTATAAACCGTCTAAATTGATTAAATGTTATAACGAGCATCTATAAATGAGGCGCTTCCTTGAAGACGTGATATCATAACTTTCACGTGAAATTCGCTGACTTGCAAGGCGTTCAAGAGCACGTGGATGTGTCAATAACAAAACACAACTAAAATACTTACTTTTAAATGAAAGTGAAATCTTCGGTTTCTAAATGTTTGTGTTGCAATATTCCACATCTTTTAAACTTTTCAAAACGAAAATTCGCAAATTTTAAAGGTGTTTTTTGCTTTACGAGATTTTCGACTTTAAACAATCCAACTGTTACATAGAGGTAGTTGTGACGTAACGGCTAGCAGTTACTGCACGTGCAAATTGTGCAGCATTGATAAGCACTTGTTTAAAAGCACGTTTTGAAACCTCGCTGTCCTTTCACCAGAGACTCTGAAGTGATGTCGTTTTTAAATGTCCACGCGGAACTGTACACATGACATTCAATTTTAATTGAATTAAAATTTTGAATTGCTACTTGTCATTTTTTCAGTGGGATTTGGGATTTGGGGTTTTACATTCAAAGTAAAACCTCCCGAACGAAAATAAAACCTCATAATAGGTTTTACTTTGAAAGTAAAACCTCTTAATAGGTTTTACTTTGAAAGTAAAACCTCTTAATAGGTTTTACTTTGAAAGTAAAACCTCACAGTAGGTTTTAATGCCTATAGAAAGAACTCTCTTACTTAATAGAGATTCCAATGAATAGGTTTATAAAACTGTTGCAACGTTCAAACACCCAAACTGGTGTTTGCAAGCTTTAGTTTTCAGAGGGAAACCGTCTTTGGAGATCAAATTGGTCGACTTCGACTCAGAACTGACAAAGTGGAGAAATATGACACGATTACAGTTCTGGTCGCAGTCCACCCGATCCCGTTAGTTGCCTCTTACCACAAGCATAGTCGCCTTTTGGCAAGCATGGGTTGCTGAAGACCTATTCTGACCCGGAGCTTTAAGTAAACGAATACTGACTGGTACGAATAATTGATAGGTTCTGTTTGTTTTTCATTTTTGTCATGGTCGTCGACCAGAAGGTAAAAGCTCATACTCCGAAAACAAGGCAGCGGATTAAGCGTAGTGGGCCCGAGTGTGATCATTTGGCCACCAGGCCCCTCTGTTTCTATAATGTGTTGTGGGTGTATGGAGAATGTAATACTATTTACCATAAGACTACAGCTTTTGAACGAGTAGTATAAACACGGTATAGCCGCGAGGGGGGAACAAGCTTTAGCACACGGTGTCCAAGAGACGAACTACATACATGTATACAGCACTTGTTAAAGCTTAAATAATATTATATTAAACGTATCGGAATAAAATAACATACATTATATATATACTGCAAAGATCGTTTTATTGTCGTGGATTATTTGGGCGCATCCATTGTTTGTTTGTTGTCAAACGCCGCACTCAGCAGTATTCCAGCTATATTTCTGTAAATAATCAAGTCTGGACCAGACAATCCAGTAATTGACATCATGAGCATCAATCTACAGATGGGATACGATGACATGCATCAACCAAGTCAGTGAGCCTGACCACCCGATCCCGTTAGTCGCCTCTTACGACAAACATAGTCGCCTTTTACGGCAAGCATGGACTGCTGAATACTTAAGGGGCATTCACACGGTACAACTAGTTATATACCGTGTGAATGCCCCTTTATTCTCTACCCGGATCTTGACGGGTGGCGCGCACCTCTTGTGATGTATACGGTACCGTGTGGGAACTAGGTGCTTCGCTCCACTGGTCGCAATACCTCTTGTCGTCTTGTCCTACTTCTTGCCCTGCCTGGTATATATAACTCTGACAACAGTTGCCAGCGAAAGTCGGCCATGGGTTGGGGTATCAAATGCAGCTATGAAGACGAACGTCATGACTTCGACCAAATTGATATGGGAGTCCCATCGAGCGGCCCTTACTATGTACGTATATGTCTTTATGTTACTATGAAGCATTCTCGCTAAAACGTCCCTTGAGGTGGATTACATGGGGCACAGTGAGGTGAAGCGAAATCTTGTATGACATCGGGTTCAATGTTATTCTTATTGCAGTAACATAGGTGTGTGTGTGAATATGACAGTGGTACTTGTTATCACAAACACACAAGTGTAAACTATTCCAAACGTCCTGTAAGTGTGTACACAAGTGACACTGACTTCCTAGATAATTCCATATCATATATATCATATCATATCACGGCCATATTAATAGTAAACAGGAAGTGCGTTCAGTTCACTGTACACGCCTTGAAATTGTAATTATAGTAAACTGTGTGATGTTAAAACTATAAACCTACATCTTTAACCCCACAAGGTGACCGGGGTTCATATTTGAAACAGGGTTAATTACAGGTGTGTGTGTCTGTATATGTGTACATTTCGATAACGTCTTGCAAACCAGGTGCGCAATAACGAATTTACTATCTATAGATGTTGAGTCATGGATATCAGATTATCTATACATATTGCAGATAGATATGATTACAAGATGTGTGTGGTAGCCTTTTTTCGCGATCCTGATTGATTTTCAGTGTTATACTTCGATAACTGTACAAAAGACTGCGGGACTACGTTCTCAGAGGGGTTTCCCCGTGATTCCCTACTGCGACTACTCCTAAAATAGTATCGGGAATTCCCACGTATCGAACGGCCCAAAATGACGAGTGGTTCTACGAATAATCAATGAATACTGTAGTTTATTGTTAGAGAAATTGACTTACATCTGATGTCTTTGAAATGAACATATTTTACAGAACACAACAGTTGTTAAATTTTCTTGAATGAAGGTGACGTCATCCATTGTTCATGATTTAATTGACGTTATTCCAACACTAGACTGACTACACACTAAATTTGTTTGTTTGTTTGTTGTTTTACGCCGCACTCAGCAATATTCCAGATATATGACGGCGGTCTGTAAGTAATCTAGTCTGGACCAGACAATCCAGTGATTGATATTAAGACTATGAGAAATATAACTGTGTGAAATTGAAACCATTAACCTAGTTCCCAATTAAGAACGGGCTCCAGTTTGCCAGGGTTGTATCTATGTAGGATTGATTCCTTTTCTTTGGTACATTTGACCCGTGAAGATCCGGGGTAGAATACGTCTTCAGCAACCCATGCTTCCCGTAAAAGACAACTATGCTTGTCGTAAGAGGCGTCTAACGGGATCGGGTGGTCAGGCTCATTGACTTGGTTGATGCATGTATCCCAGTTGCCTGAATGATGCTCATGATGTCAACCACTGGATTGTCTGGTCCAGACCCGATTTTACAGACCGCTGTCACATAGCTGGAATATACGGCGTTAAACAACAAGCATACGAAACAAAACTCGGAAGTATAGTTCTCTAAGTGACGCATGCCAGTTCTGGAATTAAATGGGCTGCCTAGACTAATGTCTGGTCTGAAATGAACATATTGTACAGAAAAACAACAGTTTTTTAATCATAGTTGTAAATATAATAAAAGGAGCCCGTGGACTTTCTCTATTTTCAGACACCGCAGTAATCTAGACTTGCGAAATATCATAGACTTGCACAGGCTGTATAGAATATATTTGTTTCAGGGTCTGTACGACAGACTAATGATCTCTTGGGAATAGTCAACTGTGACCATGTATGTAAATGTGTCATATTTCTCCAACAACTTTCGTATGATTATATTATAAATTTCGACAAATTAGTATCCCAAACTAGTCATGGATTAACACAATTCATAAAATATATTGTTCTACATCTTGCGTAGTGCAGACCGCCTCCGTTGTCTAGTGGTAGAGCGTCCACCTGGAGAGCGCCCGGGTTCGATCCCCGGCCGCGTCATACCGAAAGACGTTAAAATATGGTACTTGTTGTTACCCTGTCTGTCGCTCGGCGTTAGGGGCTAAAACAAGGAGTGGTCGGCTCGGAGTCAGTATACTGTGTCTGTGTATTCATGTTAAACTGCGGCATGAAATCACAGTGGGATAGCACTATAAATCGGCATCAGTCCGGGACTAGCACAAGCAGCCACACAAACACACACACGTACATGCACGTCGCTATATAAGTGCAATAATCTTGGACGCGACGTTACACCCCATTTCACCCCACCTCACCTTGTCGTAAGAGGTGACCAACGGGATCAGGTGGGCAGGCTCGCTGACTTGATTGTTGCATGTCATCGGATCCCATGAACGATGCTCATGATATCAACCACTGGATTTTCTGGTCCATACTCGATTATACAGACCGCTGTCACGTAGCTGGAATATTTCTGAGTACGGCGTTTAAACAACAAACAACTTTCGTATGATTATATTATAAATTTCGACAAATTTGTATCCCAAATTAGTCATTGAATAACACAATTCATAAAAAAATATTGTTCTACATCTTGCGTAGTGTACATGGCTGTATAACGAATGATCTGGCGATACACGGATAACAGTAAAATCATACATTATCACTACTCCATTGCAATCCGAGATATTATGTAGACAGCGGAGCGGATCCGATTGAGTCCATTTGGCCACCATGCCTCGCTGTATCTTTAAATGTTTCGCTAAAAATCTTAAATCCACTTAAAAGAAAAAATACAAACACAGTGAAGTCGTGAAGGAGGAATGTTTTAATATTTGTAAGCGTAGAGACAAACTTCATGTACCACAACTGTTAAAACTTAGCAAATATATAAAACGCATCAATATAAAGAAAAAAATTCTTTATGTATACACTACGGGCGTTCCGATCGTAGCTACATTGTCTTGTTGCGCAAATACATTTCAAATTTCAAACCCTCGACTGCAAATATCGTATTATTGTCCCGAATAATTTTGGCGTAATTATTGTGGTAAATTCAGTATCGTGTGCAAACACGAACACACTATAGCTGATATGCTACGTTACTCATAGTCCCCCGTTATACCGTCGTCTTACAGTAGTGGGTTTATTGCTAAGAGCCGTGTGACATTAGCCAGCTCTCGGGGCCAGCCATGGGTTGGGGAATCACATGTCGCTATGAAGACGAAGAACGTGATGGCTTCGACCAAACTGACATCGCTCTCCAGTCGGGGGAATCGTACTATGTAAGTTCATGTCAATATTTCAGTGTCAGTTGAAAGATTATTACACACAAAGTGTATAGCATTTACTTCGATCGGGAAATTCAGAATGTGTGTGTGTGTGTGTGTGTGTGTGTGTATGTCCCATCGAGCGGCCCTTACTATGTACGTATATGCCTTTATGTTACTACTAAGCATTCTCGCTAAAACGTCCCTTGAGGTGGATTACATGGGGCACAGTGAGGTGAAGCGAAATCTTGTATGACGTCGCGTTCAATGTTATTCTTATTGCAGTAACATAGGTGTATGTGTGAATATGGCAGTGGTACTTGTTATCACAAACACACAAGCGCAAACTATTCCAACCGTCCTGTTAGTGTGTACTCAAGTGACACTGACTTCCCAAATAATACCATATCATATATATCATATCATATCACGGCCATATTAACAGTAAACAGGAAGTGCGTTCAGTTCACTGTACACGACTTGAAATTGTAATTATAGTAAACTGTGTGATATTAAAACTATAAACCTACATCTTTAACCCCACCAGGTGACCGGGGTTCATATTTGAAGCAGGGTTAATTACAGGTGTGTGTGTCTGTATATGTGTACATTTCGATAACGTCTTGCAAACCAGATGCGCAATAACGAATTTACTATCTATACAAGTGGAGTCGTGGATATCAAATTTTCGATACATATTGCAGATAGATATAATTACAAATATGTGTGCTATCCAATTTTCGCGATTCTGTTTGAATTTGAGAGTTATATTTCGACAACTGTAGAACAGACTACGGGACTACTTTCTCAAAGGGGATTCCCCGTGTTTCACTACTGCGATAATTAAAACAATGTTCCCAAATAGTATCGGACATTCCAAGGTATTGGCCGTAAAATGACGAGAGCGCCTGCTACCTGTCATTGAATAAGGTAGTTTATTGTTAGAGAAATAGAGTAACGTCTTGTCTTTGAAATGAACTTATTTTACAGAAAAAAAACAGTTGTTAAATCATCTAAATAAAATATAATAAAAAGAGCCCAGAGGCGTTCCTTATTATCATGAAACTGCAGTAATCTAGACTTGCAACTATTATAGACTTTCATGGGCTGTATTGGGTATTTTAGTATTTGTTTCAACAGACTATAAAAAATAGCCTCTACATCTAAAAAAACATCTATCTCTTACATCGTTCTACAAAACAGTACCCTAACCTGGGAGTCGAACCCAGTACCGCTTGGCATTTCGCTAACAAACCCGCTACCTGCATGTCAGGTCACTGAGACTTCGCGTATAGAAATAAAAGTTTTTGAATCGTGAAAAATATAGTAATTGTCCCTTTTATTTATGAACGAAATAGCTGCGAGTTCGTTGTTCTTTGCATCGCGTGTACCGGTACTTGTCTCACGTGCGCTTTGTGAGTTGGCTCAACTTATCCTGGGTTACCAGTAAATGTGTTTAATATTTTGTTTGCATAATATGTGGAATATGATCGACGTATGCCATATCGTTCATTAAATATTATTAATATCTTTACTAAATAGATTTTCCCCAGGGTTTCTGAGATAGATAGAACACTCTTCTTCGATGATGCTTGGAGATGCAAGTCGTTGATCGGCAAGGAAAGACCTAAAACTCTTCAGGCATTCGGTATAACATTATCTCTCACTTCTCGCCTCGGGTCTTACATCCCCAAGCGTGACCAACAAGGGGAGTTTTATCCTACACTTAATGCGGAAACAAACTCGTTAAACCGGATAACGAACCTCGATAATCTGAACAGTCGGTTTCCATCAAAACTCTGCTGTGGTTTCCTAACACCGATATATCGATATATCGCATAACCCGAAGTTAACCATCCGCTGATCTATCC